GAGTGTGCGGTTTTTGGGGCCGACCTTTTCTAACCCGTCCTTCCTCGGGGGAAGGCAGCATCGCTGCTTCCATAAATATGGACATGCTGGTCGCCTGGGGGAAACACTTTACTGCCTTCACACTCCTGTCGCAGAGGACAGTACGACTTTACTCCCAGACCGCCTCGTAGCACGATTACTCGTAGTACGGGGTCTCGCAGCTCTTGGTTTGGCTGCTCCCCTTTGGCCTTCCTGGCATGGTTGCATCTTGTGGAACGAAGTTCCAGACAGTGTAGCCCGCGGGATCATTGCAGCACTGAAGCCCGACCACCACGTCAAGGTGAAAGCTTTAGGTCGTTCACTTGTTCGGTCGTTTACTTGGTTTGGTTGTTCACTTGTTGGTTCTGTGCAGCCAATGGCGGTTTTCCTGTCGTGGACGATTTCACCCCCACTCCGTTGGTCGCATGCTGTTAAGCCCGGTTTGGTGAGCACCACCAACACGCCTGCCATCCGGAACCAGTGGGACCTATGGTGACCTTGGGGTTGCGTCATTCTCTGCATATGTCTTTTCATGTCTGGGCGCGTCCTGACACTTCTCCCTTTTGGAAATATACCGTAGGTTCTCAATCTGGGATCAATCTACAACCGTTTTACTGGGATTCTTCGTCGTCCAGTTCTTCGAAAAGATGTGTTGACATCAGTGTTTACTTCCGTCGGCTCATTCTTCGGTTGCATCTCGAACGTTTCAGAGAGAATGTCTAACGGTAGATTCGTTTTTCCGTGGATTATGTCGGGTTACTCGCAACGTCGGACTTGATTGGTATACCGAATCCACACCGTTCCGTCAACGTCTACTTCATAGACGACGTTCCCTCCGTCAGAATATGACTCCCGAACCCTAGCGATTCGCTGAGTAGCCTCTGACAAGAACAGAGTCTCCACGGCTGAAAATACGTCCAGTTAAACAGTTGCTGTTGATTTTTCTGATTGGTTATCCGGGGACGCAATACATCTTCATTTTCTCTCCAAACATAACGTCAGCTGGAGACTTCCCATTTGGCGTATTTGGGTTTGATGTCGTTCGGTAGTTGGCTAGGAAAGCATCAATGATTTCGTCCGCTGATCCCTTTCCAGCTGGAGATTCCCATTTGGCGTATTTGGGTTTGATGTCGTTCGGTAGTTGGCTAGGAAAGCATCAATGATTTCGTCCGCTGATCCCTTTCCTCGAGATATCAACAGAGCTCTTTAAACGAACGCACAAATCTCTTGGCTTGTTCATCTGATTGAGGGTGGTACGTAAAGGACCTAGTTCATAGACTGAGACCTAAGCGCTTCCAAAACGAGTCAGGCAGCTTTCTGGATGTATGGCTTCGTCGTCTGTGTCTTGTAACATATTATTGAGTAGTTTGTCCGAGAGGTTTTGCTTGTCAATCCAGTCTAATCCTAACAAATCCAATCCAGGAGGATGGGGCACACGACAAATGCCACTTTCAGTGATACTTACCAAAGAGCCTCATCGAACTGCCGGACGCACTGCGTCCTCTTGTTTGGTTTTCGTTAGTGCCGGGCTGCCAAAAGATTTCCAAGTTATTTTTGAGATGATATCTGACGTCTTGTCCAGCTGGAGACGAACAGGCGTGTCATTAATGTGCACTGATGCATATTTTCTCCTGTTGACGTATGAGCTTTGTGTGCGAGCCTTATGAAGCTTGGAATTGCAAAATTTGGTTCGAACATGAGTCTTGGGCGCTTGTCTTTGCTTGCTGTGACACCGATCCTCCTAGTGTCCAGTACGGGAACATCTGCTGCAACGGTGTCTTATGGACGGACAGACGTTCACGAACTGCCATTCAGCACATTTTTAGCATGCCGAAGGTGGCTTGTCACTGTGACGGATAGTATGTTTCTGAATCGCATGAACAGCATTGCCGGGACCATTTTCTTGTATCATGGCAGTATCATGCTTCAAATTCACCAGACTTTGGCATTCGGACGTAATATTCTGTAATGTAACATCTGGTTTCTGCTCAATCTTGATGAGAATTTTTGTTCTTATATCTGCATCTTCAGGAGACCCAAACCTGCATGCTAATATAAGAAATTTGAATTCATCCTGTCATGCTTCGGAGTTTGGATCGTTCACACTCCTCGTTGACTCTGCCTCCATACGTAACCCAGTCTTCAGTAGCATTTTTGTATTTTGATGTCGAAGGCTGAACAAGGAAGCCCGTTCACTGAGTATTGACGATGAAACAGAAGCGGTTTCGTCGAACGTCAGCTCACTTGGTTTTCGTGGCGAAATGTAGTTCTTAAAGTGTTCATGTTCGGCAACTCCGATTTTCCTGATCAACTGTCTTGCTTCCGCGAATCTTGTCCGTTACCCATATCCGAAAGTTCCGTGTTTCGAACTCAACCCCGGCGTCTCGACTGCTTCTGGCTATGTTTCGATAACCTGACAGTATTTTAGTTCTTGTACTTCCTTCGGGTTGCATGTTACCACCGAACAGTTATTATTATTATTTAGTAATGATATCATTGCCAGGAGGTTGCCTGAACAGATTGACTTTTATCTGAAAGCCTAAAGAAACATAAACGAGGGAATTTCTCGGATTGCTAATAGCCATATAGCGAAGTTTGAAGGTTTTCGGAAAGAGGTTCCGAACGACTTATCTTGAAATTTGGCAGTTGGTTAAGCCATCTGGACAAATCTCTGAGTAATTCGAAGGAGCTTTCGTATCGTATGAAGGAAGCGTAATCAATCATTTATGCCAACCTGAATCTACTGTCATTGTGATTGATTTATATGGAGCGGTAGGTCACGTCCAAGATATCATACATGCTACACCAATCAGTGAAACATGAAGCAAGTTTTCAGTGAAATCTTAAAGCAGTCAGCATACCGGTTGTGGATAAAATGAACAACCTGCAGAACATGACTAATAAATCTGCTAACAAAGTAAACCCCGCGGTGCCTTCAAATGATGGTAATGGATAAGTGTAGTCAGCCCACAAAATGCGGTCTACAGATAGTAAACCATAGATTGCCTTGTGCGAAGTTAGTCCGGTCCATAACTAGTTGTTGAAGTTGACGATCCCGCTTCTAACAAATCAGTTCTCGCCTATCCTTCAAGAGTTTGACCATCGATGTCTTCGAAGCATGGCCCGAATCTGGTGGGAACACCGGATCAGTAGTGCTGAAATTCGTCGATGGTATTCGCGAAACATAACTCACCCTCGATAGATGAACTGATCACACTGCATAGGTTGCGCTGGCTTGGCCACGTGCTGCGTATGCCAGTCAACCGGATTCCTCAAAGGGCTCTTTTCGCACAACCACGTGAAGGGTGGAAGAGAGCCAGAGGCGGTCAAACAATGAATTGGCAGCGAAGTATGATAGCCATTACCAGCAAACTCAGCTGCGCTGGTCACTGCCGTCTTCCTGGATGGGGTCCCCGAAACGGGCCATACCAATGTTTATAGATATTGTCAGACATGGCCCAGTCACGCCCTCAATGGCGCTCGTGCATCCAAGCTATTGCCTTCAATGCATAGCTCCTTTCCCAATCCCCTCACTTGACAGTTCACCTACAGTGCTGTATTTACGCGCTAATTTATCAGCTCCCGCCCCTAATGCGCAGCTACCTACCCCACCTCCCCAAAGCCTCGATGAACGAAACTGTGGCAGCTAAAACCACTGTACGACAAGTACGCCATTAATACAGCTGACAATGAAGGCAGAACGCTTTAATGGCTAACTTATTCTCATCTTCATTGTGGACTCACCAAAATATCAGCAAAACTGACTGTCTCGATCAAAGGATAATGTGAACTCGAAATGGCCTCTTAGAGTAAGAAGGAAATCGGGAGTAATCCATTTAGAGAGTACCTGAAAAGGAGCATTCCAGTCTGACAGGAAACGAGATGTCTCCCAACTGTAGCGGCACCTGATTGGAGTACGAAGCTTGAGTTCGGTAGAACAAAGAGTTTGCTCAAAAGGATCGGCTTGTAAAGCTTGAGAATTTGTGGCCTACATAAAAGTCTGCGAATCATACGGATGTGTCACTTTCCCGACCTCAACTGACTGCGCCTCTTATGTTAGGTGTGACGTTTCTGCGGGATTTACATTATCCTGTCTTCACACCTCAATAGACCATCAAAGTGAATTTTGATTCGTCTACTTCATCGCGAATAGCGGAAAATGTTTACTTGTCTATTTTTTGTCTATTTTTAAATAACTAAGATAAAGTGAAGTGTTCAAATGACTTGTGACTGTGGATTGGTCTGATGAACTAACCCTAGCAGTATGGCCAATTTCTTCGTGGTCAGTTCCATCGAATGGAATCAAGTTATCTCACCAGCCAGTGAACGAATTAATGCTTTGGATAGGTTCGCTAATTTCCGAGGGCCCCCTCATTCCTAAATTTCAGGCGCAACTGACTTCAAGTGTATTCTTGCAATGACTTCTCAAAGTTTGATGCCAGAAGATTTTCTGCTGCATGTTTCTCCATCTTTCAAACTTTCTACGAGGGTTTATTGGGCATAAGGACCGTCTGATAACCCCGAATCTGAGTGGCCTTGTAGAGCAGACGTTTCCTAAAACCTAGTAACTTCTTATTAACAGTGCACAATTCAGGCATATTAGAATTAACGTCAAGCGATAAAGACTGACACCACCAATGGACCCCCCACTTAAAACTCTATTGAAAGTACCCTTACGGATCATTGGAGTAAGTGCATCAGGCTTCAGTATGAACCCAAACTTTTACGCACATCTATTAGCAGACCTCAAAAGCAGGGACTTTTGTTGGTTTTAGCGGGAGGTTTTCACTAGTGCCAGACTGCCAAGAACATAAGACCGAAGGCGGGGCTTGTTAGATGTGACAAGCACCTGTAAATAGATCTCGGAGTTTAGTATAGTATTTGCCGAACAGCGAATTGAATTTGTGCATAAAGCGTAGCCCAAGATAAGTGACTCATGCATGGTGCCACTGATTGTGAATCAGGTATGTGAAACTATGTGATTTATCAGCTGAGCACCAACCACAATTGTTTTACAAACTTGAGAAACTGCTAACTTTCGGCAGGATGGCCTAGTAAAAGTTCCTGCTTTTGCCACTCATTTGTTGAAGTAAATAAAAGCCTAAGCTTACACTAGCCTGGTAAAATCTTCCGAATGTAATGGTGGACAGGAACACTCCGTCTAGTCACCATGCGCGGGCTATGGCTTGTCCAAGATCGCTTCTGGATTTTGAAGGAGCTGCACTAGCCTTAACAACATCTTCAAAAGAAAAGTCAAACAGACAGTGTGCTACTGGGGCAACAAAGGCTTGGACAGTGCTCCACAAACTCCATTCCTGTTTTGCTGAACTGAGGTGTCGGGGACTCCATCCGGAGGGGGTTGACGCATAGCGACATTTTTTCCCGGGTTGCTCAGTAGTAGTCTCAGCTGCTTGTTGCAGCTGATCCTGCATATACACAACAGCTTAGAATAATACACGTCAGTAGACAGTCAGGAAACCACACAGCGCCAAGTGA